CTACCTGACTTCACACCATCTTGGGGGACGGGGTTGCGTTGTGGTGTCTTGAAAAGATGCAGCAGGATCCTGCAGGTCAGTCTGGCTCCTGGTTCAGAGTCTTGCTCACTGCAGGCTGAAGTCACGGATCAAAACATGTGCTCTGATTAACACCGAGTTCCTTCACATCGCATTAGGAAGGTTCGCTCCTTTTTTCTTTTTGGATGGGCTACACAATCCACTACATCAAAGTCACACATCTAAATTTAAACCCTGTCCTAGATAGGCTCCTCATCAGGCAAGATGAATTTTCATAGAGCTGTTGTCGTGAAACAGGGAGTAAGAACAAAGCATTTACTACAAGTGAGAGCTGTTGGCATTTGGCACATGTAGTAGTGTTATAACATGAGCCAAATGCAACCAAACAGCATGGCTGAATGAGGCTTTGTCTCCACTCTGGGAGGGAAAAAAAGATTAACAGCAGGCACTTTTCTGGCGAAAGCACAAACTGCGCCGAGGCTTTGTGGACCCAGATCAAATCCGTCACGTTTATTCTCCCCTTTGATAGAACTAATGCATTATAAAGCTGGATATTCCTTCCTGTGAGCCGGGCTGAAATGTACTGCTCACTCATTTATAGAATGCCTGTGCAGTTATATAGAGATGCTTGGAAGGAAAGTGGCATAGAGAACGCAAGTAAGGCTAAAGGAAAAATGTAAGCGAGAGATTTAGTGGACAAATGGGCTTTACTATTTACATTACTATAAGAATATTTTAAAGAAAACACTCCCAAAGGGGGCAGTTTTTAAATAATACATAAAAGAAATATACTTATCCATATCCTTATCTATTATTAGATAAGTATTTCAAACACACATGTCATATTCCAATATGATACTTAGGGATAGCTCAGTAGGTAGCGTGGTCACCCCATGATCGGGGGTTCGAATCCACTGAACGGTTAGCTTGAGGTTCCCCACACGCTGCTCACCAGGCGCCTGATTAGTGGCTGCCCGCTGCTTCACTGACTGAATGGGTTAAATGCAGAGAGATCTCCACGGTGATCAATAAAGTATACATTATTATTATTATTATTATTTTGGGTTTAGCAGTGGAGCACACCGATGACAGAGTTTAACGATCTCTAGAACGATGCTAAAATAAGGCAATGAAATGCATTAGTTAGATGGACTATTGGGACGGGGAAGTTGTGTAGGTCACAAAACTTCAGAGTCCTCATATGTCGCATGGAATAAAGAGCGCACTCCTTGAAACTTCACAAAGCTACATCTAATCAAAAGATGGAGTTGTGTCATTATTGTTCTTTTTTTGTGAAACGATCAGAATTAAATCTCAACTCTTGCATATACACATAACAGAGTTACTTTTTCCTTTTGTCTCGGTTCAGTGCTTTCTATTTTCTTTTAATCTTCACATTTATTTTACTTGGTTTGCTTAATTTTACTTTTGCAAAGATAAGGAGCTGAATTGTAAAACTTAAAGCGTTTGATGAATAGTGGAAACAGATCTGCGTCTGCCAAAAATGTCCTTTCTGTCTGA